GAATTGGATAAATTACTTGATGGGCTGGAGGTCAAATCTCCTTTCTTTCTAGTCGTTCAGGTTTGAACAAATTTAGTGACTATGATGAATTGTTACGTGAGCCATATATGTAAATAGCTCTAAAGACTTATGTCAATGTTCAATCAACAATATAACTAGATCGATTTTTGCCCCAAACCCGGATATCTAACTTGTTCTTCCAAATTCTCTTGAAGGGGTTTCTTGTAGGTTCATATGGATTAACTTGGGCCTTGAAAAATCAGAGCAAGATATCTAAGCTCGTAATCCTAAATAGTCCCCTGACAGTTTCATCTCCTACTCCTGGACTATTTACAAAGCTGAGGTTCCCTTCTAACCATATATCACGATAAATGGCATATATTAGGATTTCAGAACACACCATTTCAGAATGTAGCACTAGATTCTTGCCTCATTTCCTCTTTTTATGTGCATAAAAAACTTGTTTGAACGGTTTTTATAGCAACTGTTTTATATGTTTCTACTGCCAATGGGTTAGAAATGCATTACTCTTTCAAAACCCACATATCGTTCCCATTAAAGATTTTGTGGTGGGAAACAAGTGTGATCTTTCAACTCAAAATTAAAGTCCTTTTGTTTGCAGAAAATGGAATCCCATTACTTGTGCTTGATAAAGTTAAGATTGTTTATTTGATTTTTCTTTTCTGTCTTTTACCAGAATCCCTCTCTATGGCGAATTTACTTGTCAGAACGCTATCACGGCAGAGCGCTTTATTGAAGCAGGTAGCCCGTATGTATCCAAAGTGTTTCTACTTATGGATAAAGAGTAACTCGATGCTTCACATAACTCTTCTCTATAATTTTTTGCAAAGTTGATATCAGAATAAAAAATACACAGTGCTGAGGGAGACATTTAATTATGATGGTTTTCCAATAACTTGTCTGAGTTACTAATGTAAAGCTTTTAGATTCACAGAACTGAAAAATGCTTATGCAAGAATGGTTCATATCATCTGTGATTATAACCTAAGAACAGCCCTTATAGAATTGAGTAGATAAACCTTAACTATTTTATTGAATTCAAAATTTTGCACCATGATATCACTTTATGTTGAAGTTGAATGATGCATTCACGAGCAACTTCAGTGAGCAGTAGATAAAAGTTTTTGGTCAGCTTTGTTATATAGGAAGCACACTTAAATTGTAAGTTTGCTTCTAGAGAAATAACTGAACATCGTAGTTGCTAATAAGCTTTATTTTTGGTTCACTTATTATTTCGTAGGTATTTCTCTTACAAAACTAATATATTCATCCACAGCTATGTCTTGAAGCTGGAAAAGGCCGACGTTTATCGATTGCCATATCTATCAAGCAGTGGACCTGGATTTGGTTTGTGACTAAATTCAGCTTTTAGATTTCCTGCCGAGTTTATGTTATTGATAAATGTTCCTTGGATTGATTTGTGTAGTAAAAATATGGTACCAGCTAACTTTCATGTTCTTTCGGTTTTGGTGTTTCAGCTCTGCTTGAAGCCACAAGAAAAATTAATTTCACAGATACCTTAAGTCAAATAGCATCTGGCTTTGCTTCAGGAAGGTACAATTTTTCTGGATCTTCTTTTTTATAATTCTGTTCTAGGTTACAACTACTTTGGACATGCTCCTTCAGTTTTAAGTTGAAAATCAATACTTTCATGATAAGAGAAGTTGAGCCTTATGAGATTCGAAAAAAAATAAAAAAATAAAATCAAGAAATTGTTGGCTGGATTTTAGTTTTAGTTGCTTCCAGACCGCCGAAGGAAAACTGTATTGGTGTGGTATTTGCAATTACTTTGGTTCGTTTTAGCCTTGGATGAAACAAACACAAAATTAGTAACGCTAACAACAAGCATATCGAATTTCTATAGTGGCCAAATTTGATAATTTGTTGGGATTAAACCAAGTGTAACATATGGTATTGGATCAAAAATCTCTTGAACTAGAAAAGAGTATTTTGTCTAATGAATCAGTACTTGGTTCTATGCTAGAGTTTACCTTTAAGTTAGTATTATGAAAGATAAACAACAATAATGAAAGAATAAGAAAGTTCGACAATGTATATGAAGCTTCAAGACATGGCTTCTAGTGGCTAAATTAGTCCAGTGTAAAATGGTGCTAGTTTTTGCAACCCGCTCTGTATTCTGCATGAGCTGTGTTGAAAAGTAGCTTAACATTTCTTATTCATGTATGATCTATAAGCTTAATATAATTTGAGCGACGACATTTTTGTTTCCTGATGCAAAACATCTTCAAATATTCATCATAATTACTCATGTTGAATCCACTATTAGGATGGTAGTCATCTTGGAGTTTTCCTAACGTAAGGGCTTGCCAGGAATTCCCGAGTGATTGAGATCAAACGCTTGAATATAAAACCAGAAATGCATGTATTTACATGTGTTGCCCCATAACATGATTCTTATTCCAAAAATCCATTGTGTTTTGTAGGCTTTAACTTATTGCTTCAATTATTCTCTGGCCTATGAACTTTATATTTGACTTTGTTGAGCATTATGAACTTGATTACTTTTGGACTACAGCTGGGACAAACCAGTGCTAGTTGCGTGGGGAATATCAGACAAGTATTTGCCCCAATCTGTGGCAGAAGAGTTCCAAAAAGGAAACCCTGGTGTCGTGAAGCTCAAGTTGATAGAAGGAGCTGGGCATATGCCCCAAGAAGACTGGTAATTCACTCTCATTTATTTGTATTTTCTACTTCTTTCTCCTTTCTAATTGTTAACATTTTGATCATTGAACAATATTAACAGGCCTGAGAAAGTTGTCGATGCTTTGAGACTATTCTTTTAAACTCAAGCACCGAACCACCATACCTTCAAGATTCATCTCACTTGAATGTGAATATTGCATAGCTTTTATTTGTGCAAGGATTCTGATATCAATGTTTCTCTGTTTGTATAAAGCTCTATGCATAAGTTACAGTGAAAAATGAGAAGTCAACAAATTTATGAATCTCTTTGGATTACGAAATTTATTATCTAAATTTTGATATCTGGAATTGATTCAATTGAATGGACAAGCCAAGTTGCAATGCTCTAAGGTTATGAACATATGCAATCACAAATAAACACAATTAATTCAACATTGATGTCAACCCCACATAGGAAAATTCATAAAGAAGGTTTTTTTTTTGTCATTCCTTTAGGGGGTTTAACTTTGAAGTTTGAAGTTGATTATTGTAAATACAATATTGAGCTGTCAATAATTTTACGATTCCGAAGTGTGACAGCAACTCAGAAATCCACTGCATTCCGTTTATTTTGAACTATTTGATGACTGAATCTAACCCCAAATCATGAATAATGCAAAATAACTACACACTGTTTGCATTAAGATAATTCCATAAAGATTGAATTTAAGACAATGCGGTTTATCCAAAATTCAGAGTCATTCCAGTTCTGGTTAGTCTTCACACTTCACAGAACTCACTGGCAAGTCCAGGAAAGATTGCCAATGAATCAGAACTGACATGGAGTCAGGACAAAAAGGATGCACCATTTACGATAATTTACAAAATACGACCACAGTTTCAGTCTTCCGGAACATGGACTGGTAACCTCAGCAGCAACCTACTTTGCTTTCTTCTTTTGATTCTTACTTTTTTGACTGGTAAATTTTTCCTTCGATGTCTTCACAGCCTTAGCTTGTTTATTCTTTGTCGCCTTCCCTGATTTTGTTTCTTGCAATTCATCAGCCTTCCCTGATTTTGTTTCTTGCAATTCATCAGCATCGTCATCGTCATCACCAGCTTGCAATTCATCAGCATCGTCATCGTCATCACCAGCATGATGTTCGCTGTCATCATCATCACTTTCTTTAGATTTTCTTTTCTTTGAAGGCTTTGCACCTTGACCCCCAGGTTTCCGCCCTCTCTTTGATTTTACATTTTCAGTAACCTCCTCCACAGCACTTTCTGGTGCATCAACACCATTGTCTCCGCCATCATCCTCACTGCCTTTTCTCTTAGAAGTTTGCTTCTTTTGTTTAACAACCGCTTTCGCAGATTGGACTCCATTTAGCTTTTGCAACTCTGGTACATAAGCTGTTGTCTGCAACCAGGAATGCAGACCCATCACATCAACTAGTTCGATAGAACAGTAAAATAACATAAACAGCCCTGTTATTAGAGTTACTTACCCTACCACCGACAGTAATAAAATCAATTTTCTTACCTGCCATTACACAAAAGACAGTCAATGTTTTAACCAAGGAAACTAAAGTTCCTGATAAAAACAGAAAGGATAAAGTTTTCTTAAATGAAATGAATTAAGGGGCCCATTATTTAGAGAATCATGAGTCAAGCCAGTAAGTCGATGCCAACACTAAAAATAATTTGCAAGAACTCCAGGAAAAAAAAATAATAATAATAATGGCCACCACCACATGCACAGAATGCTACACAGACACAAACAAAAGCTATTGTTTATATGAAAAGAGGGAACTAAATGTGATAATATAGGAGAGATCACAAGGGACAGAAACCAAACCATCAACAAAAGCCTTGCCAGGCTTCTTTTCACGGGAATGAAAAATCCAATTATTAGGAAACTGACTACTGTCTGCCCCAACCTCAATTGCTTTTTCAATTACCTGTAAAATAAATTGCATTGTCATAGAGATTAGTCAAGTCATAGGTATCTTACCACTAACTTTTCCAGGCTTTTTGCCCCATCGAAAATGAAACAACCATTTAAGAGGAAAGCGGCTGCAGTCAGCATCAACTTCAACCGCATTTTGAACAACCTACAAATATTGGTTTTCTCTATATTCTCCATGAAGAGCACAAATTTTGTACAACAAACTTCTATAACTGCAATTAAAACACAAAATTTAAGCACTTGCTCTTACCTCTTTGATGCACTTGAGCAAAGTTGCACAACTTTCTTTGGACAAGCCGGCAGATATTTGCAGCGGATGAATTCTGGCCTGCATGAAATAGAATTAGAAACATCAAACAACATTATTTGACTCAGGCTTAAGTTAGTTCATTTAGCTCACAAGATGATGAGACTAGTATATATATAAAAATCATTTTCCAGCAACAACAGAATGGTTCTTACATATACCAAAATATTACATAAATAAAGTAGCAATATTGGCTTCCAATATCAAGCTGGAACAATACAAAGCATGCAATTCAGTCTGAGTTGAGCTACATAAATTCTTATAAACATTCTCTCCTTATACCAAATAAGTTCATAGGCCATCATGTACTTTCTCCCTCCCTCAGCCAACAGTTTTCATCCTTCTCTACACAATATGTTGAAGTTTCTTTACTTAAGCAAATGATATGACCCAAATACTTAGCAAAAATACATAAAAGAAATTGGACAAAAAGGTGTTCACTAACTTGGTATAAAACTTCATCTGCAACCCAATTGCCAATTCCTGAAATAAAACTCTGCAAAAGTGATTAAATCATAAGGGTCAATAACGATACGGAAAAGAGAGCTGTGAGTATCAAAGAAAGTTTAAAAGAACCGTACTTTTAATGATTTTAAATAAACAGTCACCAAAAGTCATTAATCACATAGTGGAAGATTACATTAAAAGAACCAGTCCTGTACTTTTAAGAGAGAGAGAGAGAGAGAAAGAGAATTATGATGTGTGGCTGAAGCTAATCTGTCCCAAATAACCAGGCCAGAAAGGTTCTATCACTTATACCTTCTCTTAAAATTGTTTAGAATATCAAACATCATGTAAACAATATTAGGAAATAGGAAGAGGAATACGCATAAATGTTTTAACCTGATCAAGTAATAGAGCCTTAATCGCAATTTTCTTTTTGCTTAACGATTTGGTAAATTCATCAACTGTCAGAGGCTCCAATAGTGCATCAGGACCAAGATCAGATATGGGGGCTACAGAAGCCGGCTATACCAACAAAACAATTACAAAAAAATTAGCATAATGCCACCAAAGTAAATTGGCATCATTTATATATAGACTAGCTAATGATGTTATATTACATCTTTGAGTAGGCGAACTTTAGCAAATCTCCTCTTGTCAGTGAAAGACATCTCCAAACCATCATCTAGCTGCACATGGAGAAATTACTTTTTTCATGAGTACAATGGTAGATAAGATATTTTTTATGATAATACATGCATACTTCCTCAATTATTATGAATACATTGTTTCAATGGCACACCTAAAGAAACTGATATCAAGAGACATACCACATGGATAACAAATAATCTGCAGGTTACATAAAGGAATGCTTTTAGAGGACATATAAAGGCATGGCACCTAGAAATTCCAACCACTGTTTGGCATTTCTTGCCAAGGAAACAACAAACGTAATAGACTGCACCACGGAACTATTTTTATCAAGACCAGTTGAGTCCTGGATACTTATTCAAAATCAGAATTCTAAAACAATATTGGACAGTGTATGCTCCCTGTTTATATTTATCAAAGGAAGACCCTTGAATTAGAAACTATGAAGACGCTCAAACTCATGTCTATTAGAAAATGACTTTTAACATCAGAATACATAATTAAAAAGCCGAGACTCCGTGTTAAAGAGAAAATGAACAGAGAATAATCTCAGCATTCGACAATGTGCAACCTGCTTAGTTGCCACTAAAGTTGAAACAAACTGACTGGGCCATCAAGATTTAGTAGTGATAGATAACATTAATAAGCAACTCATACTAAATTAATCAAATACATAGGTCAAGAAAAAAGCTATAAACATAACTTCCTCCCACACAATCACAACACAGCAGGACATCAAATTACAATTTGAACAGGGATTTTTGTGGTCCTAATTTGAGATATTGGGCACAGCCTTTTAGGGAAATAAATCAGTTAAATAGGAGCACAGGACCTAGGTCAAGCAGCAAAGGTTATTAATAAGATTAACACCGAGTATTGTGGGCATCCATTACAAGAGTAGAAGCTAAAATAGGGCATTGCATGCAATGGTTAGGTCCAGAGTAAAAGCAAAATGATATAAAAAATTGTGAGCAGCGATTCTTACTTCAACAAAGAATTTTGAATATTTTGAAGGCCATTCATCAGTGTCCTTTACAGCAGACCTGTAAGCAAGATTTGAATCATTAAAATTAGTGACTGCAAATTGTTCTATACAGAACAATTAGTAAAATGAACAAAGCATCAAAGCCAAACTGGTTAAGTTATCTGAGATAATTCACTAAAAGAATAATAATCAGAAATTGCTCTCGTATAAATTTTGAATTCAAAAAATGGCATTTTGCACACATTCCCATTGCACTTTCCTTCTAATGCAGCATAAAAACAACATATTAAAGGTCGCATTAATGCCTTTCATTTCCACAAAGCAAACAAATCTTCATTAAATGACTTATTGATCTAACTTTACATTTCATTGCATCAGTCAATACAACACAACTATATATATGACCACACCTCACCTCTTATATTTTGTAACAGCAACCCCCTTAATGTAAACAGCTCCTGCCATCCCTGAAATGCATTAAACCGCATCAGCATGGAAACTCATCTACTATCGTTTCATATCATATCCGATATCTAAAGATCAAATCCTAAGGGTTCTTTTTGAAAATGTATTATAAAAATAATAAATAAATAAATAAAAACACACACAGCCGCATTTACTGAAAGCTTTGATGGAAAAACACCAAACAAGCTCTTTGTAAAAGGACCAACCAAGTTTCCCTTTAAAAGCACTCCCAAGTGTTTCCTAGACCCAAAAAGTGCTTCTAAGAAAAACATATGAAGTGCATCTTCAAAATGCATTTTTAGTGACAAAAGCTTTCATGTTAAAACACTTGAACAAGCCTTACGTAAAAGCGCAAACCAGGTTTCTCTTAAGTATTTTTTTCCTTGACGCAAAAGTTCTTTAAGAAAAACACAAGAATTGCTTCTTCGAAAAAAAGAACACATAAATGCATTTTTAGTGCCAAAAACTTTCCTGTTAAAACTCTTAACTAAACTTTCCATAAAA